CTCAAACAGAAATTGATAATTTAGGCTCTATCACAGTTCAAGCCCATATCCCATGTTATTTCAAGCGCTAAATCGCCTTCTTAGTGAAAAGTTCGTGCTATGACTGGTCAAGACTTCTGGCATCAAGTCATCGATTTTGCGTAGATGCAGCTATATGAAGTGCCTTTGATCTGAATCGTTCATACGCTCCATTTTCACTGCATACATGCAGTATTTCGCTGCGAACTACCTGAACTACGCTTTTTTTTTGGGTGTACCGTATAATGGATATTACCTTACTATAAATCCTCACATGTATAACTTTATCGTCGGCTGCTTTCACCGAAATAGCAAACTGTCCGGGCGAACTTTGGCTTTCTCGCACCAAATATGTCCCATGTTTGCCCTCAGTAAGAAGTAACCGTTCTGCTTCTGGACCCGTTAAGCCAGCGTGAAACCACCTTTCGATGAAAGGACGAGAAAATGACCAGCAGACAACCTCGTCTGGTGGTACCACAAGAGGACATCTGCAAAAATTTTCACAAATTTAAAATGTAACCGTCCGAAAGCACTTGCAAATTTTGCAAAGCACAAATAAAAACCAAAACAAAAAACAATCAACTTTTCTTGCTTTTTCCAGAAAAAAATGGGTTAAAATGATGCACAAAAAACATTTTCTAACATATCAAATCAAAATTTTTCAAACGTATTAACATCTTTTTCCTAAAGTCAGGGCTAAAGCAAAATCCTTTTGCTCCACATTAAGATAACCTCACTTTAGCAAAATCACTTCGCCATCTTTTTCCCGCAGCTGGCCAGGATTTTCCACATAGAACTGGACTAGTTCTGAGAGTGAAGCAAACGTTTCACCGCCGTACAAATCTAAGCAATCCCCACTGTTCTGTATTTTCACATGCTTTATTCGATCTCCTTTGCTGAAAAACGAATGTATTTGCGGCACAGTTTTGTTTTTAAAAAAATCAAAAAAATGCTATTTTGCTTAATCTATTTACATTTCTCTGTTTCATTTTACTCCTATGCTCAGTTGTTGTTTCATCGCAGTTCACTACGTCGCATACTAAGGACAAAAATCGAGCTTTTTTTTCCTAATTTTTGGTTTAGTTAGCTAAAAGTGCATTCATGTTAAAAAATAACTAAATCACGCCTAAATCCGAAAAATTAGACAGAATCTTAAAATGTTTAAATGAAGCAAAACAGTTAGAAAAAGAAAAACTTACTGCACAGATAAGGTGTAGCCGGAAGGATTGGAAGCACTGGGACGCGCCAGAAATTCACCCTCCGTACCGTACGTATTCAACAATCTCTCTGCATCGACCCCCGAAACTGGATAGTAAAAATTTGACGGCCTACAAAAAAAAAATGACATAAAAATTCAGTTTACCACCAGAAATATGCCGTTAGAAACAGGGGATTTTTGCGACATTCTGCAAGAAATGCGGAAGCTGCCATGAGTTACCACAAAGAGCCCTAATGAGTAATGCTGGAGCAACGGGCGATGGTGACGTCTAAATAAAAATGACCAGTAGATTACTTTCTTAGCAACAACATAAAAAGACAACCCTTGAGATGGTGAAGAATGATGAATTTCATGCGTTCACAGCCCATCCGGTCGTGAACTGAGCCATTTCTCGAAAACTGCTCTGAACCCGTGGAGAACCGAACCATCCCTGTTCACGTCCGAACGCAAAGTGTTGCCACTACACCACCGGTTCCTGCGCTCTAGGTTCAGTCTGGCAGCACATCTGCTGTGTATCTGCCTTTCAAGGCAAGGTATCCCTTTCTGCTATTTTTCTTTGTAGCGGCTTCTTGGCCGGCTTTTCGCGAGTTTTTCGCAACATACCCACTTGGAGCAACGTTTCTGTGAGGTTTTTAGAGGGAAAATGAAAGGAAAACCTGGTAGTCATTGCTGAGTTCACGCTAGTGATGTTTTTCGTAGCTCCTTCTTATCAGGATACTGACATGTCAAAGCATAGCAATACTGTCTTAACGCAGTTCCCTCCTTCATCACCAACTGCAAGCACCTGAAACAGATCAAAATGCTGCACTGCTGCAGACAACATGCATTTTGGTGACATATGAACGAGTGTTTTTTATACGGTTATTTGTTAAATATGTTGATGAAAGAGGAGTCAAAGTGAATGGTATTAAAGCAAAAGAACAGACATATAAGAGAAGCGATATTTCAGCGGCAACGAGGAAATCAAAACCACTAATAAAAAACACATAAAAAGCAGTCACAAAAGGCACAGAAATGGACTGCCTGAACAGCTGCTACACGGAATTATGTGGATGAGAGAGGCCCAAAACTGGGAACAAATAAAGAAGCTGACGGCTAAAACCCCTCACAGAATGCTGGTGCACTGAGAAATGCTAGACATTGCGATATGGTACCGCGGTACCAGATGATACGTTGATGCATCAAGATGGCAAGCAGCGCGGTGATGAATCAATAATGGCAACTTTCGTGAAAGCGATTTCATTCAGATTCGGCATCTAAACTGTGAACTGAAAAAGCAGCACGAAGGGCGGGGGTCTACGCATCTCTCAATTCGTTACAAATCCTCTACTAAAGGGGAGTAAAATGAAAGAAATTGGAAAATGGGCCGCACAGCAAATTCCCCACCGCCCCTAACAGAGAGCAGCAATAACTCCGCGATACTGCACCAGAAAACCCCGAAAAACACAACGAAACCTGCCCTAAATTCAGCCTCCAGAGCGGCATCTGAGCATCACCTGACTAGCACACTTGTTCCCCTTCTCTTTCCTGTCCTCAGTCCATGCCTCCCCAAACTGTACCTGGGCACCCACCAAGCTCCGCCCATCCAAGCCCCGGAAACACACCCAAACCCCGCCCCACTGCAAACATACAGTGTGCTAATTTCGGGGGTGCATTTTAGCAACCAGAAGTGGTTTTTGATACGGCCAAACCCAAGGGCGTTATGCAATTTGCCGTCCACAAAATTGCCTCGTACGAGATTTTACCGCATTTTTGCACAAAAATTGAGAAATTTCAAGGCAATTTTATTCCATTTCAATACGAGGTGTGAACAGTGAACGAAGCTTTTTTTAAAAAAATGTATTTCAACAAAATACGCATCAACATTGAACAGAGTTCTGCAGCATATCTCAACAAAGCAATATTTATTGATCAACAACAAAAAACACAAACAACTATTTTACAAAGGTGTGAAGGAAGTGTACGTGTGGTCGGCGGCGTGACCAGGTCTCCTCTCAGCACTTGTCTTTCGGGAAGATGTAGTGGCAATAAGCAAGCATAAAGAGGACAAAATTGAATGCTCCAGTCAAAAAGAGTAGCAAAACTGTCGCCATAATGATTATTTGATCTGTAACGAAACGATACCACAAAAGCCGTGTGATGGTACTTTGCATGGACTCCCTTGCAATAAGCAGACGTACATGAACGCCACTACTTTGCCCACTTACAATTTCCCACGTTATTTTTAATTATTCTCAAAATACTGACTGATTCATAAATTTTTAGACTGACGAGCATTGCACAGTGGAAAGTAGCCATAGGCGGATCCAAGTGGAGCGGGGAGGGAAAGAAAGATCTTTTGCCCCCACCCAGCAGCACAGGCACCAGTGCTGCAAAAACCCGGGTCTAAAGCTAAAACCAAAGTAAACTAATGCCTAAAATAACTTTAAATAGCAGTGTTACAACTCTTCCTAGTTTTTGCACAGATTGAGACAGGGCTCGCCTCCCCACTTCCCTGTTGCCCCTCTCCTTCAGGAGTTCGTCTTGGATTCGCCTGTGGAAGTAGCAGCTGTTGTCGTGCAGCTGCAGTTCGACTCCCGTCGGTGGGGCAGCTAGAGCCTAAGCAACTTTCAGCACTCCTGCCAGCAGGTAACTGTTACACGGGACTTCCCGAGTTACTCCGCTCTTGCACTGGGAGTGAATAGGAAGAGGGGGTTTTGATTGCAATTTTTTGGGCTTTCTCTTCCCTTGAAAAATTTGACTGCTTTCAATAAATTTACTCGCAAAAATAACTCACCAAATTTATGACGAATCACGAAAAACTCCTGTGTTATGGATTCTTGCTTCTCTTCATCCTCAGCAATCGGAGGTGTTTCTGGAATCGGTTCTGGTAACTCTTCCGCAAAAGGCTGTTTTGCAGTAGGCCGAAAAAGATCGCCCGGAATATGCTTTGTAGTTTCCAATGTAGTAGTTTCTGTAGAAGAACTTCCAATATGCTCTGCGCTGCTCGGTGGTGATGGTGGTGGTAGTGGTAGTGGTGATGTCGTTGTCGTTGACAGTATCAAATCGGCTACAACGAAATATCTTACAGACAAAGAAATTAAGCTCCAGCTTTCACATGGCCCAATTTAATTCCTTTTCATAAAATGTCCAAAAAACACCAGTTCCAGGACAACAGAGAAACTGCAGTTATTGTGGTCACTGGATCTGAAATCTGACGAATTATGATTGTATTTTGACTGGAGTAGTGCAATAAGGAAATTCTTCAGAAGCATATGCTTTGCAATTTGGTCAGCTGTTGTTTCATCGTCATGTTTCTTCTAGCTACTGATGCAACATTGGGCAGCTTTTCCATTCTTCTCTATTTTAAGCCTTTCATCCACATTATCCACATAGCTGTCCAAATACATCATCTACATAGCTATCCAAGCTGATCACCGCAGAGGCACAACCTCTCGTATTCTTCCTCTAACTTTTTAAAATACCACTTCCCACAATAAGCTTGATAAGCATAAGTGTAAATTCGACCACCGTGAACGATAGAATGGTGCTCGGTGGTTGCTAAAATTAGGAGCAAATTTGCGGTGCAGTATGCTTTCATTGTCGCTCAACAGTGATATTACAAAGATCGTGCATTTGCAGGCTTTTATAGGTAATATTTGCCCCGCTATATGCAAATTTGGATACACACTTTTATGCAAAAATTAAGATTAGGATTCGGTGAAACTTCAAATTTTTTTTCAAATTTTTTCGCAAAAATTCAAGAAATACTGTGGATGCGGCTAATTAACAGTGTAGCTGTGTACTAGAAATTTTGTGCAGTTTTGATTTTAGCTTCGTCATATTTGTTTCGCATGGTAGATGGTCAAGCTAACCATTCAGTGAGATGTATGCTTGAGCACAACAACTGCAGGATGGATTCAGCTACACTGACACTGATGGCAGTTGCTATTTTGGGAAAAAGGCGAACCAAAAATATTAATGTTTTAGCTAGATACTGTATGATTTGGCCGTTTGTCCATGTTCTTCTAAAACATATCACTGTTATATCTTCGACGGCTAAAAAATAATTGGTCAACGCACGGGCCGCCCGTGCGAAGATGCGTTTTTTGCATAGCTTCCCGCACATTTTTGTCCCTAACGGAACTGGTTTTTCCGGCTACTTCTAGCTAAAAGAATTTCCGACCAGCGATCAGGACTGTCAGGAAACGTCCCTTCAAAATTCCAGTCTTCTAGCTTCTCACGTTCCCGAGCCAGCAACTTACCCGAAAGAAACCTTCACGGGTCCGTAAGCCGGTGCTACGCTTACTCGGGGGATGGGTTTGAGCTCGTTAATACGTATTTGGACGGGGAGCGTCATCCTAAAATTTCAGCGTTCTAGCTTCTCAGATCCCCGAGTTATGAACTTACCCGAAAAAAATTTTGG